CACTTTCGAGGTTTTAACCCTTATGAATTTCTGTTTGCATCCTCAGTGTTTCCAAAGAGGAAATCCGATGGAATCTCAATGAAATCCGAGCGGAAATCGACCCCAGTTGCCAAACCTTAGTCCTTGGCGAATTTCCAAACATCATGTGTGAAGTTCAAAGTCAAAATTGAAGGGTTTAAGGTGGTGCAGCATTTGGTTTCTGTGTCCAAACACCGACGAGTCTCACCGATGTAATCTCGGTGAACTCTTGAAGAGGCTAGCTACTCGAGGAGAATTTAGCTAGCAATCTTCTTCTCCTAGGTCACTCATCTTCTTCCTCAACCATCCTTGGTGTCGGAACTTAGATATAATCTGTAAGGTTAGTGTTTGTAGTAGTAGGTGGGGTCGGTCACTTTTTCATTTTTCAAAACTAATAAGGGTATTATAGGAATTTAAAATATTTATTACAGGCTCAATCCGCTCTTTATTAAAGCAACTTACAAGTTGCTTTTAAAAGCAATAAAAGTTGATGTCTAGACGTCATTTAAATAAGCATGATGTTTTATTTTCATCAATTTTTTTTTTATTATTATTGCTTAACTTTAAGGTGAAGCAGTTTCTGGTGAAATTAAGCTACCAAACTTGGGTGATTCGAACATAGGGCCTATATATTCCTTTTGGAAATTGTTATTAGCACTCCAAACTTTCTATACTAAATAGATTAACCTTTCGAACTGCTGCTTAATCCATAGGCAGGCAAGAGACAACCTGGCAAACTGAAAAACATCTCAATTTTAGAAAGAAATATATATTTGTGAAGAGTATATAATGAGATTTTTTTTAGTGCCAATAACATCTTTTTATAAAAAAAATAAAATAAAATAAAAAAATCTTCTAGGATTAGTAGATTAAACCAACCCTTTTATATCACGTGCCGATCTGTAATTTATTAAATATATTTTATTAATTTTGAATATGTTGCCAGAGCCCTTACCGAGCCTTGTCATGCACATGCCTTTAACCCTTCCACTTTAGCGCGAGTGTATGCCTATACTCTTAAATTAAAAACCGAGAGTACAATAGAAAGTGTGAATAACGTCGTATATCTGTATTAACTGTTATTTAAAGTTTTGAAAGCCAATTAACTCGAAAAATAAAAGACGGGATAATTCTAGATAGACGCATCTAATCCGTAAATCCACCAATTTCCAAGAATAATATCGCGAAACAGAAGTAAAAATGAACCTTCTATTTCTTTGGCCAAAGAAAAGATAAAAAATCAACCTTCTATTTTTCCACTTTAATCGTACTTGAGTTTCCTGTTTTACCCCTTTTGCTAAGATCAAGCTGAAAACCAAAAGGAACAATACCATCTCCTCCCGCAGAGTTTGGGAACTGAACGGCCTCTACCGTGCCGTCGTATTCGTCCGCCAAGGGTCGTCATCGTCGTAGTCTTCCTCTGGCATCGTCTTCCCAGGTTCCTTCCTCCGCCAGAGTCAAAGCAGAGAGAAATAGGGGTAAAACGGTCAGAACGGTGTGTTTCCATTTCACGTTGGAGCTCTGAGGGACACGTGGCTGGTACCGTCACCCGCTGTCATTTTTTTTTTTTTTTTTTTTTTACGTATTCTGGAGGCTTTCCTGTGCTTTGCTCACCCCCTCGTCTCCGCCTTCGCAGGACCGCAGCTCTGCAGATTCAGGAAGGTGGTTGCTTTCCGAAGCCAAAACCAAAAAGAGAGCAACCCAGAAATGTTCAGGTAACAAACAACATTTCTGAAACACTCTGCAAATCAAATAGGGCAAAGGGTCTCACACCCTCTGCCCCAAAATTTGAAGTCTTTCAGTTTCTGTTGGGTTTGAATTTGACCTTTTGGGACAAAGATTCTTGTTGGGTTTTCATTAGTCAAATCGAAGTTCATGGCAGGATGGTCATCCTTAACAACTGGGTTTGTCTTAGATTGCGTCGAAACTACTGATACATGTCAGAAAGATGGTGTTTTTCCTGAAACTAATGATGTTGGTTCTGTAAAAGATGGTGTGGATTCTGATGAGGGTGATCAAAAGGGTAGGCTGAGCTGTATATTTGATCAAGTCTTGGCTGTTTTTCTTAAGGAAATTGGTGATAAAGATGGTGTTGTTAGGCCTGTCCCTGCCATGATTGATGATAGGCAACCTGTGGATTTGTTCAAATTGTTCTGTGTGGTGAAAGATAGAGGTGGGTATGATTCGGTTTCAAATAACAGTTTGTGGTCTTTTGTTGCTGTTGAACTGGGTGTTGATCCGGAAGTAGTGTGTTCTGTGAAATTGGTTTACTTTAAATATTTGAATGAGCTGGAGAAATGGTTTACGGAGATTTGTGGAACTAGGAGCTTGGGAAATGGGGAGTCTGGATGCAAAGGGAATTTGCATCCGTTGTCTTCGGAGTTGGAGAGAGAGTTTAGAGGTTTGTTGTCCAGTTGGCCCGAGCAGAAGGGAAAAAGTGATGGAGAGGTTCATCTAGAATCTGGAGAATGCAATGGTGATGATGACGAAAAAGTTTGTAATGACGATCAGAACGATGTTATGATATCACTCTCTAGTCTCAATAAAAAAGAAAATGATCGTAAAAGAAAGCGAGAATCCTTAGTACGAATGCTGAATTGGGTAGGCCAGATTGCAAAGCAACCAAATGATCCTTCAATTGGAGCAATACCAGGGCCAACTAAGTGGAAAGAGTATAGGAGCGATGATGAGTGCTGGGTCCAAGCAATTAGAGCAAAAGAGGCATTGCTGATAAGAAGGAATGTTAATTCAAAGACTGAAGAATATCTCCAGCAGGTACATTTGTTTGTTTGTGTGTTTGTCTAAAGGGTTTTTCTTTTTGCTTCTCGACTACAGCCATTTCTTGAATTTGATATGCATAGTATAGTTAGTCTTTCGAGTATACTCTTCTTGCTTCATAACTTTTATCTTATGAAATTAAAGAGTTGTTGTATCTGTAAAATTTTTAAGTTATTAATGAGATGATGAAAATCATCCCCTGTGATAATTTGCCATTGTTTCTGCCTCGAGTAAGTTAACCTCCACAATATGATAGCATCATCCACCTTAATAGGGCATTGCATTAGTTTGTAATCTGAGTACTGCTAATATACTTTTTCGGGAACTGCATGGCACTCGTAAACCTAAACAGGTTTGCAGATAGTTCACACATCAACCCTACTTAATTCAGCAATATCCACTCTTTGGTCCGATGCTTCTGGTTCATCAAGTTTGTCTAGCTATACTCTTCCTTTTCCTTTTCTGCTCCAATTTTTGTTTTCCTGGAACTGTGAATATTCACATATGAAATTAAATTAGTTTCCAATTTTATAAACAGATCATGGTCTAAACTTGCAGAAGAAGCTCAAGACGCATCCATTGTTGTTTGAAGATAATATTGTTGCTGGTCGCCAGTGCTCAGGGAGGTTACGATGTAGTGAAAGGCTTCCTCATTCAGTTAAATCTCGCTCATGCCCTTGTTGCCGTAAAAAAGAGGTGGAAAACGATTCTGTGGAGCAAGCACCTGCAGAAGTTGATTTATTGGCCACTGATACGGCGTCTGAGGATAATCCCCGCGAAAAGGATGTCTCTGTAGGCGCTCACGCTCAAGCTGATGTCCCTGAATGGACTGGTGTGGCTTCTGAAAGTGATAGTAAATGGCTAGGCACACGGGTATGGCCCTTGAAACGTGAAGAAGACAGCCTCCCTAGTGAAACAGATGCCATTGGCCAAGGAAGACAAGATAGGTGTTGTTGTGGATTTGCAGGTTCTGTTGCATGTTTCAGATTTCACATTACTGAGGCTAAGATGAAATTGAAGAGAGAACTTGGTTCCTTGTTCTATCATTGGCGATTTGATCGAATGGGTGAGGAAGTTTCTCTTCGGTGGACAGCCGCAGAAGAAAAGAGATTCAAGGATTTGGTAAAGTCAAATCACTCAAATTCTCCTTTTATTGAGGGAAATAACTCAAAATCTTCTTCCTTTTGGGGTAGTGCATCCAAGTGGTTTCCTAGAAAAACACGGGAAGATTTGGTCACCTATTACTTCAATGTGTTTCTTGTCCAGCGCAGAAGTTATCAAAATCGTGCCACTCCAAAACACGTTGATAGTGATGATGACGTAACAGAGTTGGGATCTCTAAGTAATGGTTTTAGGCGTGAGGTAGTCGAACTTTCAGCCAATTCTCTGCCATGTTCTCTGAATCAGCAGTCCACTGATTTCGACTAGATATAAAATCTGTACCTGGAGTTAGAGAACCAGCCTGGGGTTTCAAGCGCTGCATTAACATATTGAATGGGGATGCAATTTTCAAGGGTGTGTGTGTCGTTGTGGAAGCAGACCTGGTGGGATTAGTGGTGACGCCAGAAGGTAGAATTGGTGGAATGCGCCGAAGAATGTTGTTGGTACTCAACAAGTGTCTCCAGCTTTCGTTTTGAAGAACCATGCTACAATTTTGGATGGCTGCATCGTGATATTGTATCTTATACCAGGTTCTATAACCTTGGATACAACTATAGAAGTAGATAGGGAAACATGAGAGGAAGAGACACAGAGTTGTCAAGTTTTTGGGGCTTTTCTTTTCCTCTCTTAGAAAACCTTTTTTTCTTTGTTGTAACTTCTGACAGGTTTTTTCTTTCTATAAAAACTAAAATTAGCATATGGAACTAAATGCTGTGACCCTTTGCCTTTCAGTTTTAAGTGATGTGATTTTGTCTTTGCCATTCTCGTTTTGGTTCTCTGTTCCAACACAAACATGTCGGTTATACTTAGGTGTACGTGTTGCAACATTTTCATTTTTTTTGTCAAACGATAGATTTTGGTAGATTAGATGTTAAATTAGTCACCGACGGGGTTCGAACCCATGATATTTTCCAAAAGTCCTCAACACGACGAAGTCTTTATGGTCCCATTAAGTTCGTATACATAGAGTTGTTCCAAGAGTTAACTGCTATATATAACTTTGATGTTTTGATTTGGATAAATTTTGTTCGGTTCCAGAGAAAATGCAGGAAAGTAAATTAGATTTCAAGTAATTTTCTCTAATTTTTGTGTTTTGGGAACTTAATTATGCGTTGCATTGAGTTTAATTTAAACTGTTTATAGCTGAATTATGTATTTTTTTGTGTGTTTATCACCCCCTGGAATGTATCACTAATCGATACACTTATATTATTTGTGGCTGCGTATGTATTTATGTATGTATGAATGTACGCACGCATTCCCGACCGCTATGAATGAATGTTGTATACTTGTTTTTCTGTGTGCTTGTTGATGCAATACCCTAGAGAAAGAAGGTCAGAGTCCACCGGTTGAGATCGTTGTCGAATTCCTCTGTAAACTGTTTTGTTTTTATGGATTCTGTTTTATTCAAACCTAAATGCTTGGTTCAAGCTTTGTTGAGTTGAAGAAAACTCTGGTTTTTCTTGCTGCAGGAGCCTTGAATCTGTCGATGCATCCAATACTGGAAACAACTTGTACATAACAGGATTATCCACGAGCGTTGCCTCCACTGATCTTGACAAATTTTTTAACAACGGATCACCTGACAATGAGAATAACAATCTTATACGGATAGAACTCACCGTAGGACATGTACTTTATTCTGCTACGCGGTTCAAATAACTGTTCTACGTTCTAACGTTGTGTTGTACCAAGAAAACATGCTGTCCTTTCTGACTAGACTCACATACAGTAGGTCATGCTGCGTGATTACTAGTTCATAGCTTCCTGTTCATCTGGAAGATAATAATATTTCGAGAGCCTTCCATATCATATTCTGAGAGACTTGCATATAAGCATTTGTTTCAGGTACTGGACTGCAATCTGGTTACAGACCCTTGCACCGGAGAATCTCGTGGATTTGGCTTTGTCATAATGGAAACTGTTGAGGACGCAGAACGCTGCATCAAATATTTCGACCGGTCTGTTCTTGAAGATCGATTAGTTACCGTGGAAAGGGTAATAGTTTCTGTCAAATGTTCAAGAAAATTGTTGTGCGGTATGCAGTTGATTTGTTTATACTTTTTCTTATGAAGTTTTTACCTCTCAAAAAGTGTTGCCTAATAAGCTTGGCAGCAGGTTTGGTCACTGTAGCTTCATCGAATTCACAATCTAAGCTCTAAACAGTTGAAACTATCCCATTTACGACATTAGTTTCTGCGTTGAGATTCAAAAATCATCTATACAAACTCAACTATTTTGCCGAGGGTTATTCATGTTTCTTTGTTGGCAACAGCGTCTTCCATGGTTGCTTATTAACCTTACTATTTAAGTACACTAGAGGCATTGAAAATTCTTCTCGTTGCATATGCTGCTATGGACCGTCCATCGCGATGATTATGATCCATACGGAAGCAGCCGCAAATGGAAGGCAGTGTTACTGTTTTGAGTAGAACTGAGATACTGTAGTATTCTTGTATTCATATCTCATGAAGCATGGTTTACAAAGATGCAGGACGTGATCGTGATCATGACCGCAGATGATCACGGAGCTATTCACGTCGTAGGTGGATGAACATTCCAGGGAGTGCCGAGGAAGATCACGCTCTCCATATGGTGGGAAGGTGGATGAACATTCGGACTCGTACAGGAGGCACAGGGAACGCTCCTTGTCAAGTGGCAGAAAGTTAGAAACTCTAGATACAGAAAACAAATCCAAATGCGCATTTGATCATCCCCTGCATGTTTGTTTTACACCTAGATGTGGGGTTTTGGGATCTTTAGCCCATTTGCCCTTTTATTTTCGAGACGAGCTTGGCTCCTAAGCAGTTACTCCTCAATTCATTTTGTATTCGATTCACAAGACTTTGTATTTATGATCGGAACTGTTTATATAATAAATCACTTTGTAAAGATCATCTTTACAAAAATCAATTAAAACTAAGATCGTTTAGTCAATCAATTGTAGTAAACAGATAAACGGTCTATAATGCTTTATAATTTCGTTCATTTGTTTTTCTATATAGTTTGATGATTAAAGATCTCATATTTTATTGATTTTTTGTAGAAATGATCTTGACTTGATAGAGTAAAATCGACCACGAAATAAATTGAACTACTCCTCAACTATTGAGGAGCCAAGTTAATTCCTTTGTTTTCACCAAGCATTTCTGCAATATTGTTATACACAATTAACAATTTATACAAAAGTGACACCTATCTCATTCGCTATTGTTATGGCAGCATTTAACGTAAAAATATTCGTATGCCAAATTTGTTGATAACTTTCACCATGTTAAAATAATCTTGGTTTTCATGCATCGCTAATCAATTTTCTTTTTCTATTTGAATTTCAATATTTATTGTAAGTGAGAGGTTTTAGATCTAAGTCTCTTTAAAGGTTAAGTTGAACCACATTATTATAGCAAGCGCATTGTAAGGTTAGCCCACTCCCCTACCCTAAGATAGATACTATCGTTTGTTAAAAAAAAAATAAAAGTTCATTTTTGTTGGTAAATGACATGTTTAGCAAAAAGAAATGTGAAAATTTATTACACAAGCATGTGGTATCTAACTCATGTGACGGATTACCGGCGGTGTCCTAATATTGCATAATGATTCACCAAGAATTCTGTTCAAATTATTTAGTGATTGATGTTGTCAAACTATGAATTCATACTAAAAATTACTTAAATTTTTGGGAGTTTTAACGAAAAACTCACGGTACTATTCATTTTAATGAAAAACCATATTTTTACAATAAAAAGTCAATCCTAGTACTATTTACTTTACCCTTTATTTTTTCATTATCATTAAAACTCAAAGTTTTCAATTTCTTTTCATTAGTTTTCCTTAAATTTTTTATGCAACATCACTCTTAGACCAACTTTAATAGATGGGGATAAAGCTTAAACTTTTGGGCTTCGCTCTCCCTAGCCCACTCGCCCAAATGATTCGGTAGGTCCAAAAGGAATTAAGCCTTGCTAAATTCTTAGAGCAAATCTAGCTTAAAAATATTTTTTCTCCTCGAGACTTATTTTAGCTCAATAGTTGAAGATAGTCTTATAGTATTGCATATCGAGGCTCTTAAATTGACGAATAGGAGCTAGCAGTAGTAGATCCAAGCAAAATTATTCAGGGGTCATATGTAAAAGTTCACAAACATTCTTAATTGTATAATAGCCTAAAAAATTAAACCGTAGGTTTCATTATTCATAATTTATAAACAAATAATAATAAAAGTTACAATTGTCGACAACACGATTTCATATTTTGAAAATGTTGCATTATAGTTTCATTATCAATGGAAGAAAAAACACTGCTCTCAATATAAACAATCATACTATCACTCAACCGTTGACTTTCCATTCAAAATTACACAATGGACTTTTCAAAACTCATAGCTAAAAAGGTTCTCTCCACTAAAGCAGTAGCAACCAGTATAACCAAACACAATGTAATAAGCAACTACACATGATTATATACTATATTTCTCCTTGTCTCAACCTCTTTTTTTTTTTTTTCTTTGCAAGATTACCAATTCCTTTCAGCTGAGAAAATTCACTATTCGAACTCATATCAAGAATATAATGCCCATGTTAATCTTGAAGTGCCAAGAGTTGACAAGTAAAAAATTCATTTGGATAAAATTGAGCAAAATGAATTAGCTTTTGTTCATCAAAAGTCCAAAATGAAGCATTCGTGTGACGACCTGTCCCTAATTTTCCATGTAATTGTCTCCCCAAGTTTGTAAAATGACATTTATGCCCTTTTGGCAAAAGTGGAACCTGACGTGGACGTAGTTATTCGGCTTCTAAATTATTTTTCTCAATATCATAATTAATTAGTACTCGTTATTACGAATACGTGAGCGCAAGGTAGACCTGAATTGAAGTAGTAATGAAAAAGTTACGTTTAGTTAAAGTGCATTAACAATGGGTAGATTTTTACACGTGCATGCTAATTATTCAGTATTGGATACTACTATTTGATAAGGCACGTTAGATTTTGTGTGATTTCAAATTTGTACAAATCTTATCCCCTTCTCTCTTTAAATGTGTCCCGTGCACTATTCTCCCTCACCAACCAACCAATCACTTTCCCACATTTTCTCACCCAATCAGACAGCTCCTCTCTCTTTCTCATTGACCAATCAGAAAACCTTTCTCTTTCTCTTCTTCTTCTTCTTCTTCTTCTTCTTCTTCTTCTTCTTCTTCTCCTCTCACGCCAAGCCTCTCTCTTCCTTCTGCAACACAAAGAATCATCATCAAACCTCATAAATCGACCCTCAAATCACCACCATCGTGCTCCCCTCATCCTCATGAGTCCATCCATATGAGCCAATCTAAGTGGTTGAGTTTTGAGTGTCCAACTTGGAGCAACTTGGAGCTCCGACTTGGATGTAGGTTTTTTCGACAATTTTTCGTTCAAGTTGCACGGTTTTGGAAGGTTTGGAGACATCTAGGCAACTCTCTGGAGTCCCTAGCCTAAGTTCGAAGTGGAGCCATCATGAAAACACACGGTTTTGAGACAACTAAAATAGGTTCGAGACTTTCAAGGCTTTTTCAATCTATTTCCATCTAGTTTTTGGACTTTTGAAAGGTATAAACTTGTTCTCCTCTTCCTAGGCTTCATTTCCATATAAAGTACGTTGAAAATGGTTCAGAAATGAGGAAGTTATGAAGTTTTAAATTTTAAATTTTTTTCCAGAAACCGGCAAACCAGATAGTAGCGGACAGCGAAGGACAACCAGAGAAGAAAGAGAATATTCCGTTAAAATTAATGGAATATTCTAACACCGTTAAGTAACGCCGTTAAACTTAACGGAATATTTCGTCAAATCTGACAGAATATTCCCTAGGGTTTCTGTCAGTTTGTCAGGCGCGTGGTTGACACGTACGAGTCCGTGACGTCGAGTAAAATGTTTTCGTATATTTAAACCCTCCATTTGAGCAAACTATGGGGGATTTTCCTAGCCTTTTAGTGTATGTCCTTAATTAATTAGTATAGTTGTTTCACATATAGGTGAGAACTACCCCGAGGAGGTACGAGGACAAGCAAGGCTAGGAGGCTATGATTCAACCACGTATCAGTGAGTGGAAATTTGTTTTTATATATTATATATAAAGTTTATAATTTCACATGTGCTTTTGGATTGATTTTACGCCTATCATGCCATATTTTATTTAATTTTAAAAAATGCCATTATATTGTTGAGATTTATATATTGTAATGGCATGTTCATATATATATATATATATATATATATATATATTATACTTGCTTATCATGCATGCTTGCACCAATGTAGTACTCGCATGGGTCAGGGCTAGGCTTCACGTGTATGTTCACATCACACTGCACGCTCACCTTGGATCCATTATACGTGCCAGTCCTATCGTACAGGTTCCAATAGGCAACTCCGACTTGTATGTGATGCGCCTAGCACCAATGTTCACGTCATTGTAATACTAGAGCGTATATTATGATTACACTCAATCCTGTTCATGGAAGAACTTATCTGCATGAGCTCGTGTGTTAGCTTAGGTTGATGAGCACCTGATTTTACCTATGCAACTGTTGAGATATTATGATTGGCGTATTTTTGGATTTATTGTTGATTTACAGTTGATTTCATACTTATATGTAATATGATTTTCTAGAAACTATACATGTTTTATGGCGAGGTGGTAATATGTTTAGAAATAAATGTGTTTTATAAACCTTTGTTTTTTCCCACTCACCCTTCTGTTTTTTGCCCCCCCCCCCACAGGAATTAGATAGCTGAACTCGTGTGGCATACGAGGAATCTCCGGCGTATTCTGACATTTCTATAGATAAATGTAGGAGATTTTTTTCCGATTGTGTATTAAGTACTTTAATTAGTTTCAATTGCACTACTTTTGTCGTACTGTCATCTATGCTCTGAACATTTGTGTTTTATGAGTTTTTCCCACTACTACGCACTCGCTACTTTAGATTAAATAAATGTTAGCTTTGGTTTTAAATTTATCCATATTTTTCTTATGCATCATTTTCCTTTTTGGTTACATCACCTTGGGGTGTCGGCTAGCATGTCTCGACTCTGGTCGGGGCGTGTCAATTCGGATTTGTTGCAACATGCTGGTCTGCTTGTCTAGTGTTTCTTATGAAGTAACCTATTCTAAAACTACGTTTTCTCCAAGTAATATTTTTAAGAAAATTAATAAGAAGAGCAACTCATCTTTTGAGATATTTTATCAAGCAATCGGAAAAGCATCACAAAGGACAACTCCAAAAAAATAGCATCTAAGTCATTTATGAAAATTAACGAGAGTTCAAAATGTTAACTGACCTTCCTTGCCCCTTCATGCATGAAAAAGGGAGGTAAAAAAGAAAATTATAAGAAAAGGGAAAAAAAGAGAGGGAAAGATGGGTGTACCCTAGACCTAGAGAGAGAAAGGGGACCCACGCTTTGAATTCCCAAAATCAAGAAAGCGGGAGCGGAGAGTGGGTGCGCGCTAGCTGCATCTCTTGCAAGGAAAGGGCGGACTTCAAATCAAATTTCAAATTTATTCAATTTTCTTTCTTTTTCCTTTTTTTTAAAAAATTTAAATTGTTAATTTGTTACATAAAAATGGTGAGTGGTATTTTGCTTGCTTGCTTGCTAGTAGTACGGCGGTTTTTTCCACTGTGGTCTCTCAAGTATGCACTTGCTAGGATAAGATCCGACAGCTGTGTTCCTGACACGTGTACGTCATTTACCTCTCTCTCCTTCTTTTTGCGAAATTTTTCATTGTAACATGAACACAAGTGGTACATCACGTGTTTTAATAGAAGTGATGAGAAATTTTATTTTTTAAGTTATTTACTCTTTATCATACATATCCCGCTATTTTTATAGTAACATGTGGTGTATTATTCTGTGTACCAGTCACACTAAAGACTCTCTCCCCTTTCCCGATGACCGCTTACTTTTTCTCCTCCTTCTCTTTGGCTTCGGTTTGCCTATTGGCTAACGGCTAATGGCTTGGCCTTTTATTCATCTTGGAGGTGGAGCCCAAGTAATACTTTTGAAAAGACTAAACTACCCCCAGAATGCCAATGACAGCACATCTTATCATACTTGGGGAATGATTCGAATGAAGGTGAGCGAATCGCAACCGTAGGTTTCGTTGTTAGACAAATGGCAACAAATTACTTCACATGCAGTTTACAAATTACAATATTTTAATAGAAAAAATTACAAGAATTTACAATGCTTTTTTTCAAAAATACTTAAAACAAATTACAATGAATATTCTCTCTCTCTTCTTATAGGATTTACAATGTTAATAGCTTGTTTGTTATACCTAAAGCCTCTTATAAGTATTTTGAAAAGAAAAAAAAGTTTAGGAAATTGACTAAATAATTATTCTACAAATTTCAATGAATGAACTTGTCATAATCAAATACTTACAATATATGGATAAAAAAATTAACAAAATATCTATATCAAAACACATTCACAAAACAAAACGCTTGAAGCTAAGTGTCTACGGTTTCTTGGATTGTGGGCCCTAGGTTACAAGCCTCTCTCGGGTTCCCACAATACCACCCTTGGCTACATTCATTGCAATAATTTAAATCTCATAGAGGCCAATTATTGAACAAAGGCAATGTTAGGGAGAACAAGAGTAGTGTGACAGCCCGTTCTGAATGTGTCTATTATGTTATCCTTGATGGCATGAATGTCTATTTTACCCTTGGACGTTGTGTAGTGTCGTGTGGTTTTACTTTGGATGTGAAACTTAGACTTAGGTTTTATTTTCTTTTGTTTTGGTTGGTTGCCATCTGGACCACACACACGCACACACACCCAAACCCTTTCCCGTTGACTCTCTATCTCTCCTCTCTCTCGGATTTTCTTCCATTTCCATACAACTGTACTGACAAACCTCAAACCAACTTTTCCAGTCATAGATCGAGATTGTTGTTGGTGTTTTTGGACTCCTTGCAAGCTTAGGAGTTGATCCATACCTTTGGTTGGACGTGAAACCTTCGAAAACTCGAGTACCAGAATTTCCGATTTGATGTACTGTTCATGCAAACGTGATCGTGAAGTTTTTAGTGAGTTTTAAGGTTCTAGTAAGCTTTGGGACGTCTTCACGAAGCTCGGGGAGTAATTTTGAAGTGTTTTGGAAGTCGGGAAAGCTCGGATTGGCAAGTTGCAGAGGTGACCGGAATATCGAAGAATTTTTCGACGAATTTCAATGGGTTTAGGTTGCAAAAGTGGTAAGAATGTGTTCTATTCGTTTAGAGCTTCATTTTGGTGAGAATTTTATGGATTTTGGTTAAGAAATGAAGAAGATATTAAGGTTTGAAGTTTTTCCAATTTCCAGCGAAGACGACGGTCACCGACGAACCAAGGTTGAAGACGACGGAATATTCTATCAAGTTTGATGGAATATTCTAGTGGCATCAGGTTAGTTTTAACGGATTATGCTACTTTCTAACGAAATATTCCTAACGGCATTAACAGTTACCGTTAGGCATGCCAGGCACGTGGCCGCGAGTGGAGGCACGTCTGGCAGTGCCTTGGCTGGCACGTGGGTGATCGAAAAAAATTTCTAAAAATATAGGGATGTTTCTGAAGTTGTGTAAATCATGGTGGTATATTCAATCAACCCATTTGAGCATTGTATGAGAAGTTATTAGCTAGTTTCATTTATGTGCTTTAAATTAACATTTTTATGGTTTTTTCGCATATAGGTGAGACCTATCCTCAGGACGAGCGTAGTCAATCGAGGCATGGGGGCTACGACCTTTCCACATACCAGTAAGTGGGCTTTTGGTTTTCCGTATATACCTATATACTTGAGATTTTTCCCAGAAAATTGATTTAAATAAATTTATGTTTAGAAACGCCATGCATATTGATTTATACGTAGATCATTGAATTAATATAGTATGCATAAATGTGATTTGACGTTATGGATGCTCAGGTAAGTACTAGGTGAGTTGTAGATTGTTTATGTAAATTGATGATTATGTGAGATGTGTTGAGAGCTCATAAACCTGCACCCGATGTTAGTGTTCCCTGCTATGGTTAGGGCACAGTCGTTCACAGTGATGTTCACCTCCCGTACCATACGCTCACCTTGGATCCAAGTTAAGTGCACAGTCCTGTCCTACAAACCACTATAGGTGGTCCGACTTGTAGGTGACCCAGGATTATTCACACAGTCTTCACGTGATCGTAGCACTAGAGCGTATTTATTTTCACCCAGTCTTGCCGTACAGACCACTATAGGTGGTTCCGACTTGTGTGCAGGCATAATTTATGAGCTAGGAGTTTAGTCGTACAAGCCACATTAGGTGGATCCAACTAATATGTTATTTCTCATTGATCTATTTTACCTAAGTTACTTATTCTGTCATATTCAGATATTTGGCATGGCATATTTATGATTAAAGCTTGTTGAGCATGGTTTTGAGATACGAATATATATATATATGTTCTATTTTCTGGGAAATTATACAGGTTTTACGGCGAGGGGTTAGAACATTTGAGAAACAAAATGGTTTTGAAATGCTTTGTTTTTGCCCACTTACACTTTCTGTTTTGAGCCCCTCCAGGTTTTAGGTATAAGTTATCGTTGGTGGCTCACTAGGTTTCCAACGGATGTTCTGACAGAATTCACAAATGTAGATCACCTTTGGGTGTTGTTTAATTAGTACTTGTCCTGTCGGACTGCACCTAGGTTATTTATGCTCTGGTTGTGTATTTCACACTTAGTCTCGCACTAGTACCTTTTCTTAGCTAGTATTGCTGGTAACTTGGTTTTTATTTATTCGTATTTCTCTATATCAATATTGCTTCCGCACTGTGCACATGGTTACGTCACTCTCACGTAACAGCCAGCATGTCTTGATTTAGGTCGGCATGTGTCAGTTTGGTATCAGAGCCTAGGTTTGGCAGTCCTGCATTTTTGGTGATTATTCTAATTATTTTGTTGTCTTCTGTCAGAATTATGCCACCTCATAAAGAGCCAAGTCGTTTATCTGAGCCTAGTTTCCCCGATGTAGCTCAGTTAGGGGAAGTTATTGCTACTACTATTCAGTCTGCACTTCGCCCTCCTCAGAGGACTGCCCTGGAGACTATGTATAACTTAAAGTTGGATAAGTTTGAGGGTCATGAAGGACATAGAGTAAAACGGTGGATCGAGCATCTTGAAAAGACTTTTCGAGTGATGCAAAGCTGAGGGAATCTTTCTTCTGAAAGGTAGGTCGAGACGACTACATGGTTCTTAGGTCAAGAACCAGTATCCTGGTGGGAACATGAGGCTTATCATTTGACCCCAAAGAAAATTGCTGACTGGGAAGTGTTTAAACAGTTGTTTCGGAAAAGGTTTATTCCCCCTGAGTATATGGATCGCAAGAAGCAAGAATTTACTCAATTGAGATAGGGGAAGATGACGGCGAATGAGTATTATAGGAGATTCACTGATTTGTCTCGCTATGATCTGGAAGTTGCTGCTAATCCGATTGAGATGCTTCGTCGTTTCATATTAGGTACTAAGAAGAAGTGGCGTTCTATGGCGACCACTACTCCTTGTGCTTCTTACCAGGAGTTCTATGAGATTTTGTTAATGATTGAGGATTAAGAGAATATACCTAGTGAGAGTGAGGAAGAAAAAAAGGACGGCAATCAGAAGAAAGATGATAAAGATAAAGGTCAAGCATCTCAAGGACCTTGCAAGACTCAGAACTTTAAGCGAAGTAGAGCTAGTTCCAGTTCTTCCAGCTGGGGTTTTAGTGCCACTGGTTAGGGAAGAGGTGGTAGATTTTATGGGGGGGGTCCTAGGTTTCAAAGACAGGGAGATGCTACTAGTGGAAGGGCTCCGTTGTGCCGCAGATGTAACAATAGACATTTTGGAGAGTGTAGGCGGGGCAACAGTGGATGTTTTACTTGTGGGCAGATGGGCATAGGGCTATAAATTGTCCTCAGAATCAACAGAGGACCC